AAAAAAAAAAAAAAAAAAAAAAAAACTCCAAAATGAATATCTGTGTAGTATGAAGATAGAATTTTGGTTGGTTGTTTCTTATCATTCAGAACAATATATGAAATCAAAAGGTTTGCAGCTGTCTCTACAGTCACATCTTTCAAAGGTCCTCCTCTCCTTTCACATGAATTCATCTGAATCATTGCCATCCTGCAGGAAACAAAAAGTGGGACCATGAAAGCCTTGAAAAGAAATGACTCAGTATTTTAAATGTCAATAATAATCCTAACAAGCTGTCTTTTTATTCCTCATCTCAGAGTTCAGAAAGTAAAACATATAATAACTGAATTCACTCATCACTCGCCCCCCCACGTTAAATGAAAATGGCTGAATTAGTGGCTATATTCGCGAAGAAATCATTACATGGCCCTGTTACACAGCAACACGTGGTCGATGATTTCCTTTCTTCTAACAAAGACCCACGTATCCTAGAAGTGTCACCACAATAATAAAAAAAAAGAGATTGATTTTTCAACAAATATACCAAGCAAATCCTGCCCTGGTACCTTATACCGCCAGCACTGCCACTATGCAAAATATCTCTGGCCTAATTCAGTATTTTGAGCCTCAAGGCTGTCACAGATTTGTAACTTCACAAGATGGGTTTGATTTTTTAATTTATTTTTTAAATAGGAAAAGTCATTAGGAAGCCAAATATAGGCCAGTTTCCAAGTTAGCTGGCCAGTCGAACTACTTTACATGGATACAGACACTGGCTTTATTGTGTGGTTTATAAACAAACTCTTAAAGACCATGCACGCAGGTCCAGCGCCAGACTCTGGTTCTGCCAACATTACTAAGTGTGCGTTCTGGTACATCTGCTTAACATCACCACAACCTGAGCACTGCACTTACTCTGCCTTCTACCTCTTCACTGTTGCCTAACACCAGTGCTGAAGAAAGGGACAAACATGGCTTATACAAACCGACCTCAAAAAGAATACAAGGAAAATACTTATTATGAAAAACTATGTATAAGTTTTTTTTTTTTTGCACCAATACCAAGTCATACTTTAATTCTACTTTTCCATAAACTTTTCAAAATCCCCCCACAGTGTTATGACTTAGGTTTATATGGGCTCTTCTTACCAGTCTTTACAAAAGACAGTAGAAAAATATGAAGTACAGGTAGAAAATAATGGCTTCTTTGTTGGGAGCAGCAGATGGCATAATGGTTACGTTGCCGGACTCCCACATAGTCGACCTTTGTTTGAAACATGGACACCCCCCCTTGGGGGTGATTTCTCACTTTCTGTCTCTGGTAAGCCCATGTGCCCTATAGCAAAAATCTCTCTGAAAAATAATGGGTTCTTTCTGTGTAGATAGCAGGCCTGCAAGCATAGTCAATGTCCCTAAAACCTGCCAGACCTTCTGTAAGAAGTGTGGCAAGCACCAACCTCATAAAGTGACACAGTACAAAAAGGGCAAGGATTCTCTGTGTGCTCAGGGAAAGTGGCGTTATGACAGGAAGCAGAGTGGCTATGGTGGACAGACGAAGCCTATTTTCCGGAAAAAGGAAAAAACTACAAAGAAGATTGTGCTGAGGCTTGAATGTGCTGAGCCTAACTGCAGATCTAAGAGAATGCTGGCTATTAAGAGATGTGAGCATTTTGAACTGGGAGGAGATAAGAAGAGAGAGGGTCAAGTGATCCAGTTCTAAGCCTCACCTTTTCTATTATAAAGACAACAAAATCTTGAGGTGAATGTTCACCTCATTTGATTACAGTTGGTCTGTATTTCTAAGGGAATAACATAATCAATAAAATTCCCCTTTTGGGGAAATTTGAAAAAAAAAAAAAGAAAATAATGGTTTCTTTGAAGTCTGTTTAACCTCTGGTTTCATTCAGTGTTTCTCGGTGCTTTTTTTCCATTAACACAACAAACTGTGGCCATGATAAAAACGCCTTACATAGCTGTACAAAAAGCATAGAAAAGTTTGCGTGATATCCAGGCATGAGGACTGTGACTGCCCTAGAGTCCTGAACTGAAATAATAGCATTAGGGCGTTTGGAAGAGTCATCATATATATTCAGCATCAGCTTCATATCCAAAACACTGAGGATTAACCATTCAATAGGATAATGTATCAATGGTAATGAAAATGTTTTATTCCCTATAAAAGCTGTGAAGTAGAATCTGCCAAATTCCCAAGTACCTGAGGGCCTGTACTTTAGGATTCCAGTAATTGTTTTTAAAGCTTTTAGGTTCTTTTAAATTTGTTTTGAGAAAGACAGGGGTTGGGGTGGGGCAGTAACCCCAACAGGGTCTTCATGCTGCGATTCACCTCCAGACTCAGTGAGCCTGGATCCAGGGCACATATATGGGCTCAGCATTCACAGGGAGGTCTCAGGATGTGAACACTGGACCTTCCTGTGTGGGTCTGACTTTGCAGAGTGATGAGTTACCACTGCACCAATACTTGTTTCTTCCCATAACTTTTAAATACATATCTGAGATCTAAGACCTTTTTAGACAATTTTCCTATTTTTAGAATCCTTTTGAGTATATCTTTCAATATAACAAATAGTTTTGTTACTTATAAATTGATAAGCAAAAGGAATGCTAAAAGTAAATTGTTCATGGTTCTTGATGCCAAATTTAGAAATAGTAAAAAGAAATTATAGGAACCAGCAGATGGCATAATGGTTACATTGCTGGACTCCCACTAGTTGACCAAGGTTTGAGACCCAGAGTCCTGGACCCTGTGGCTTAAAACTCAAGCTGGGTGTGTATGTGTGCGTGCCCAGAATCCTGGGAGGAAAGGGACTGTGACGTGGCCATCTCCCCTGGGGGGTGATTTCTCACTTCCTGTCTGTCTCTCCAGCAAGTGTATGTATCCCATAACAGAACTTTCTCTTAAAAAAGGAAAAGTACAAACTGAAGAGAATTATCCTATATAGGAGACCAAAAGTTCAAAATTAAAACCAACTTCAGCACGAAAGACTAATATTCTTCCAGATTAACTTATGTAGTTAAACTAAAGATCAGTGTCAGCTGGTGGCATGGTGGTTAAGGCAGTTATGGGTTCCATATGGCTGATCATGTGGTTGGGGTCCCAGACCCAACAGCTTAAAAACATGCTAGTAGGGAGCCAGCAGGTGGCATGGTGGTTGAGGCACTGGATTTCCACATGGCTAACCATGGTTTAAGCCTCGGACCTAGCTGCTTGAAATTCATGACGGGTACATATATGCATCCAAAATCCTAGAAGAATGGAGAAGAAGGGACTGTAGTGTGGACATTCCCTCTGGGGAGCGATTTCTCACTTTACTTCTTTCTGTCTCTCTCGGATGGATACACATACCCTAAAGCAAAAAAAAAAAAAAGATACCCAGCAGGGGGCAGGGGGAGCCAGCAAGTGATGTGGTAGTTAAGGCCTCTGACTCCCACATGGCTAATCATGGTTTCAGTCCTGGACCTGGTACCTTAAAAATCATGCCAGGCACGTGTGTGTGTATGTCCAAAATCGCAAGAGAGGAGAGAGAAGAAATGACTGTATCCCCCTGAGGATTATTTCTCACTTTCCCTCTCTGTCTGTCTCTTTCTACAGTAAGGGCACATGACTTATGGCAAAAAAGAAATAGACACACAGACAAAATAAAAAACAGACCAAAAAAATCCCAAAAACCAAAAACCAAAACAAAAAAAGCATGCCAGTGCATGTGCACACGCGTCCAAAATCCTGGAAAGGAGACATGAGAGAAGGGACGGCCGCATGACCATCTCCTAGGCAAGGTGCTTTCTCGCTTTCTCTTTCGCTCCTCTCTCTCTTTCTCTCATGGGGAAAAAAAAATAAATGAACTTAAAAAGAAAACCCAGACTCCAGAAGTGATTAAATACATCTCTGATCTTTTGATACTGATACTTTGTGAAAATAGGGGACTGTATGAATAAGAAATAATAATTACCACTTGCACAAGTGACTAAGGAAGGACTTTCATGTATACGTCCTTGTTTAAATTTAGAACCCGTGAGGTAATGCATCTCCATTTTACTGATGATGAAAACCCCCTCAGAGAGGTTAAATAACTTTACTGGGCTTACTGAATTAGTGTAAAGGACAGTTTAAGTCTCTGAACTTCAAAGTTGTATTTAATTATAATATATAATGCTATTACAGAGTTTTTCAGAAATAGATTATAAAGGGAACCAGCAGTTAGCGCAATGGCTATGTTGCTGGACTCCCACGTAGTCGACCGCAGTTCACGTCCCGGACCTGGTGGCTTAAAACCCATGCCAGGCGCGTGTGTGTGCGTGCCCAAGATCCCGAGAGGAGAATGGAGGAGAGGGGATTGCGGCGTGGCCATCCCCCCCGGGGGTGGGGGGTGTGATTTCTCCCTTTCTGTCTCTCTCTGTCTGTCTGGCGAGCGCACGTGCCCTATAGTGAAAAACCTCTCAGAAAAAAAAAAAAAAGATTATAAAGATACATATTTGATTCATAAAGGAGCCTCAGAAAGTATTTCATAGGTGGGCTAGTCCTGCAGGGCAGTGGTTAAGTGCCATGCACAAGGAGCTGGATCCCACACTGTGGTTTGAATCGTGGCCCAGTGGCTTGAAAAATGTATTGGGCATGTTTGAGTGTGTGCCCAAATTCTGACAAGATGAAGATATGAAGTAAACAAAATTGCAGTATGACCAAACACCATTTGGGGGTACTTTGGGGTGCTTTCTCATTTCTTTCTTTCTGTCTGGCATGAGCACTAAAAAAAAAAAAAACCAAGAAAAAGAAAAGAGAAAAATATTTCATAGGGATGAGATTAAGGATGCTTATATTCATATACATATATAGATGTGTGTGCGTGCACATGCACACACACATGCACACACACACAGATATGAACAATGTTTTAAGTCCTATTAATTCTTTTTTTTTTGTAAGTTATTGCCACAAAATACATGTGCTTGCTGGAGAGAGACAGAGGGAAAATGAAAAGTCCTACCATGAGGGGATAGTCATACTGCAATCCTTTCTCCTCCATTACCTCTCAGGATTTTGGGCACATATGCACATAAGCCTGGTGTGATTTTCAAGTTGCCAGGTCAAGGACTCAAACCATGTGGGAATCCAGACCACCTACTGGCCCCAAGTCCTATTAAATCTAATTAATACATTAAATCTAGGATTCAACTAGATAATCTTAAATTCTGTAATTTCCGAGAAACTAAGGCAGAGTTTTATAGTATTTTCTGGGATGATTAAAAAAAAAAACCCTATGTCTGCACTAATATGGCAACCATTAACCACATGTGGCCAATATGACTAATGAAATCAAAATTTAGTTTAACTTTAATTAGTTTAAATAGCTACAATTAATAGACATGTGTATAAGACAAGATTCAAAGCACGCATTTTTAAACCACACTCTAAGACATGTAATAATCTAAATCTGTCCACTGTGTGTCAATGTTCTGCAAAGACTTTTCAATAATAGCTAAATTATGCCACCTATACATTTCAAAATAAATTCTGAGACAGTCTTCAAGGACAACAAGTCTATGACATAGTTCTAAGAAAATAATTAGATGTGGATGTTAGGAAGCTCTTTCAGTACTATGCTATGGGTCACCATTTCTCCCTCTCCTTGGCCTGAGGAACATGAAAACAACCTATTTTGTCACACAGGCTACAATATAACATCTTAAGGTCAGTACTTTTATTTGAATTGAAGGTGATAATCTTCTTAATTATAATATACAACCTACAGTCACATTAATATAAAACATTAAAAAATAAAGGCACTTTTGCCTGCCTACAGCTAGAAAAGAGGGAAAACAGGAATGGAAGAAAGTCCTATAAATACTAATATACTTGTACTTCATAGTAGGCAGGTATAAAAATCTCTTTCACTGGAGTGACCTTAAACACATACACATGAGAAGGAGGGTCAATGCCTAGCAGAATCCAGCTCAGGTGTACCAGCTGCCAAATTATGTAAGCTATTTGCTCCATGTACATCAATAATGAACAGTAATTCAATTATTATTGTAAAGATTCTTAGTCATTTCAAGGCACAGCATAGAGCAAGTCACTCGGCCATACCTGATTTGAAGACATATTCTCTACTTTCATTAGTGATGAATAGCTCCTGGAAGGGAAAGAAAAACATTTAAAATAAGGTTATCCAGCCAACAAGTATTTCAAAAAAGATTTTCCATGTATCTAGCACTGCCAAAGGGCTTTACAAGGAACATGGGATCTGTAAGATGTAATCCCTATCCTCAGGGAGACTGCAACATAAAAGGTTAAATTTCTATAAACAAAAGATATGCACAGCACTTTATAGGTTACAAAGTGCTTTCTCATACTCATTTCATGTCAATTCCACAAAAATTTTGTGAGCTGAGTGGCATTTTTCCTATGAGGACACTCATCTATAGTCAAGATCAGATATGATTCCGAGCTGAATTATAAAGCATAGACTGTAAATGCCACAGAAATTCAAAGGACACATGTGTATCAGTATGGGCAGGAACTGTAAGGGCATCCCTCTCAAACAACATGGAGCCCAAATCAAGCCTAATCCAGTGGGTAGGATGCATGACAAAGGCATTTAAGTTCTAGAGATCAGAATGAGCAAGGGCAAAGAGATGGCATCTATGACGACATGTGAAGGATCAACCTAACTCAAATGGAGTCCAGAAGTAAAGCGGTGGCAAACCAGTAACTTGGTTTGGGAATGCTGCATATGAAGTAATGGTGAGCCATCCAAGGCAATGTGAACTGTGAAAACTGAAAACTGAAGACTAGAGGGAAGGAGGATTGTCATAGTTAAAGAAAATAAGCTGGGAGGCATCCAGAGAAATTAGCTAAAACTTCTAAGAGCAAGTAATATCTGTAAGAAATAAATAAAAAAGACAAGATCAACAAGAGCATGAGCTGGAAGAGCAAGACACGATGATTTAAACAGCACAGAGAATCCCCATCCTGGCATTTTAAAACCACCTGTGAAGATTAAAATCTATCCAGATGCCTAGCTGTGGTACTTAAAACTTAGATTGAAGAATCTTGGGATCAGAATTCTCACCTAGCTGAAAGTGACACACAAATTTACCTTTCTTTAGACCACGTTTCCACTGAGCTCCGTATCAGTAACCCACCTGCCTCTCTGACATCTTTTTTGGATGTCTCAAAGGTATTTTCAGATTCTTATGCCCTTAACCAACTCATGGTTTTCCCTTCTACTCCCAACCCCCTCAAATAAAAAAGTTTGGTTCTTTCCAGTATTCCCTATCACAAAGAATGGCATTACTGTACACTGTATTTTTTTTTAAGAGGTTTTTCCCTTAGGACACATGCACTCACCAGGGAGGAAGAGGGAGAGACAGAGACAATGAAAGGAAAAGTGAGAAATCACCTCTGGGGGGAAGGCCACTCTGCAATCCTTTCTCCTCCTGCGATCTTAAGCACATACCTATTTATGCCCAGTATGAGTTTCAACCCACTAGGTCCGGGACTTGAACCACAGTCAACCACGTGGGAGTCCAGAGACATAACTGCTACACCATCTGCTGGTCCCACTATATTGCATTTTAAACTAGAAATCCAAGTGATTCTTAGTCTCTTCTTTCAGTTCAATCTATAATATACCTAATTCTTCAATTCTGACCTTGACTCTGGCCTTGCCCACCTCTTCTTTCTTACCTCAAAGGCAGCATAGCATCAAAGTATGGACTTCAGAATGATAGATCTGAGTTTGAACATCTGCCTTGCCACTCAGCTGTAAACTTTTATACATTAACCTCTTTGCTAAAGTAATCTTGGCCTGAAAATCAAGTTCATGTCAATACTCAAACTGATGATTCGTTAAGCTTGATTTACTATCTACCTGGGCCTTCTACTTGTTACTTGAGTCTAGGATTCCAATTTCAATCTCTTAGACTCCTAACTTCCAATATCCCTGTCTCAGGAAACTTTGGTCTGTATACCATTTATCTTGACTGCCTCAACCTCTGCTATGTTACTCACCATCCTCTATAAGTATGTTTCTCTGACTACTGATTATTTCTTCTGGCTTCAACATCTACATTGGCCTGATTTTGACATTAATACATGTTTGGCATGATACCACAAAAAGCCAGATACAACAATACAAGATTAAAATAAATTAAGAAGGGCATGGCATGGTAGTTAAGGTGGTTGGATCTCACATGGCTGACTGTGTGGTGCAAGTCCTGGACCCAGTGGCTTGAGAAACACCCTGGACATGTGTGCCTGCATGTCCGAAATCCCAAAAGGAGAATGAGAAGAGAAGAGATTGTGGCATGACCAGGCCCCATGGGGGGGGTGCTTTCTTACACTCCCTCTCTTACTTTCTGTTTGTCTCCTGTGACTGCATGTGCCCTCTGGCAAAATTAAAAAGTACATAAAAATAAAGCAAGTAATAGGCATGAAATTTGATTTCTTTGGATAAGATGTAAAGACTAAAAAGAAAGTGATGTTAACACTATAAAGATATAAAAACAGATTACAAGTAAGAAACTTAGAACCTATTGGTGGAATTTCAGAAAAGTTGTAGAATACACCATGCGTACAACAGTTCTGGGTATGCCCAACAAATCCCTGAAGTCCCCCACATGCCACTCCCTGCACTAGTCTGCATTGTGTCCCATTTTCTATAGCATCTCATAGAAAGTTGTTCACATGACATGTGTTTAACTGAAATAAACATCCATTGTTTTTAGTTTTCTGAGGCCCATGATTATGAAAAAATAAAAGTAACTAGTGACAGCTTCAAAAATTAAATGGATTATTTGAAGCAAAAGTTTTATTTAATAAGATTAAGAATTTTCCCCCTCAGTTTAAATGAGTATTTTATATGTTACTGACACTACGGAAGACCAGAAGATATAAACACTTTGTCTTGATAGGGTCTTCTGTTGAAAAGCCTGCAACTTTTGAAACTAATAAAATTACGTTTTTTTTTTTTTTTTGAGAGGCTTTTGCTATAGGGATCGTGTGCTCGCCAGAAAGACAGAGAGAGACAGAGAGACAGAAAGTGAGAAATCACCCCCCCAGGGGGGATAGCCATGCTGCAATCCTTTCTCCTCGATTCTCCTCTCGGGATCTTGGGCATGAGCCCAACGTGAGTTTAAACCACCAGGTCCAGGACTCAAACCACGGTCAACTACATGGGAGTCCAGCAACATAGCCATTACGCCATCAGCTAGTTCCACTAATAAAATTACTTTTAACTGGTTTTTAGATTCAGTTTCTTCTATAAAATGAGCATAATAAAAATATCCACCTGATATGACTATTGTTGGAATTAAATGAGATATACAGTGAAGCATTTTCTGTACAGTGTTCCAGCATGGTAAATGTTCACAACTGTGGCTTACTTTTCCTTATTTAGTAAGTAAATTAACTGATATTTTTATTCTTAACATATTAATATTATGCTTCTACACAAAATTATGTAGATTGGTAAAGGGCACAAAAAGGCATGTTTTTAATTTTCCCTGTTCCAAACTAAAAGCAAAGGATAAACTACTCTATAAATCCCACATCACCTAGAATTTCACACATTTTACCACACTGATAATGTCTGTTGATCATTTTTCTTTCCCTCATAACTCAAAGCAGACTCACAATTCTAGGCCACATTAAATATTTAAACTTACCCATTAGTCTGTCTCATGTTACCAGATTATAACTCAGGATAGCATTTCCAGAGCTCTCCATCTGAATACTGTATTAAATGAAGCTACTCATCCTGTTCAGTCAAACTCCCAACAGGAGCACGTACATACAGGTAGATGCCTAAGTCAGAGAACATGACCATAGTACCTGCATTCTGGCTCAGCAATCCAAGAATCCTGGCTATTCCAAGGAAAGTGGATCCAACACGGCAAGACAGCTTGTTTCCAATTCCATTCTGTGTATATTGGAACATATATACGGAATGGAACATACATTGCCCGAAGGCAACATATGTTTATCAGTATCTTTTTTGGGAGTACACTTATCACAAATGACTAGAAGTCACAGGCTTAATTTTCTTTAGTTAAGAAAAACTAGGAACATCTTTGGACATAGTATTACATATTTATATTGGGTCATTTGAAAAGTCATGATGCACTTTTACATAGAAAAACAGAAAAATACATAATGACTTTTCTCTTTTTTTTGACTTTTCTCTTTTTAAAAAATTAATTATTTTATTTAACTTTATTTATTTAATTAATTAATTTATTTTTAATTTGACCAGAGAGGAACACAGTGTGAGAAAGTGAGGAAGCAAGCCACCAGATCCAGGACTTGAACCGTGGTTGGCCATGAAGGAGTCTAGCACCCTTAACCACCATGCCACCTGCTGGCCCCCATAATGACCTTTCTGATGACCCAATATATGAAGGAGGTCTTCAAAAAGTTCATGGGAAATATGTACTTTAAAAAAAGTACAGGGTCAAGCAGATAGTGCTTAAGGTGCTAGATTCCCACATGGCTGACTGCAGCTCAAGCTTCACACTCAGTGGCCTGAAAATCATACTGGCATGGGTTTGCAGGTGCCCAAAATCCTGAGAAGAAAACGGAGGAGAAAAGACTGTGGCATGGCCATACTCCCAGGGAGTGATTTCTCACTTTTCCTCTCTCTCTCTTTCCAGTTGCCTTATGGCAAAAAACAAACAAAACAAAACAAAACTTTGCAGGTCCAGGTGGTGGTAAAGACACTGGACTCACTCACACGGCTGACTACAGTTTGAGGTCTAGACCTGATGGCTTGAAAACCACGCTGGGTATGTATGCATGTGTGCCTAAAATCCCAGAAAAAGAGTGGAGGAGACAGGAATGGAGTGTGGCCACCTCCGGGGAAGTGAGGTGTGGGGAGGGAGTTCTCACTTTCCCTCTCATTGTCTCTTTCTCTTGGCAAGCACAGGAGCCCTATGGCAAAAACCTTAAAAATATTAAAAAACAAAAGAAATCTATGCATAGACTGTAAAATATTTTACATCAAAATAAACTCACTTTAATTCCAGTTTTTTCTATGAACTTTTGGAAGTTCCATTATGAATTCAATGTTGTAAAGCAGAATGATGCAAGCCCGCACCTCATGTCCATATCCTAATCTCTATAACCTGTAAACGTGATCTTTCCTGGCAAAATAGAATTTTCAGTTGGGATTACATTAAGGACCTTAAAATGGAGAGATTATTGGAACCAGCAGGAGGCAAGGTGGAGGAGGATAGGTGCTAGATTCCCCATGACCAACTGCACTTTGAATCCTGGACCCGGCAGCTTCAAAAAAATCACATTGGGCACGTATGTATATGTGTCCAGAATCCTGGGAGAATGGACTGCAGTGTGGCCATCTCCCCCAGAGGGGGTGGGGGGGGGAAGTGGTGATTTCTCACTTTCCTTCTCTCTGTCTTTCTGGCAAGTGCATGTGCCCTATGGCAAATTCCCCACCACCAAAAAAGAAGAGATTATATTGAATTATCTGGGCAGGCCCAATTTAATCACATATTCTTTAAGAGAAAAGAAGACAGTAGTTAGAGAGGGTCAGTTACCTGGAATACAGTGTTATTGGCTTTGAAAACAGAGCAAGGGGCCAAAGCCTAGAAATATGGGCAACCTTAAGAAGCTGGAAAAGGAAACAGATTCTCCCCTAGAGCCTCCAGAAAGAATACAACCTTGGGAGGGACCAGCAGTTAGCGTAATGGCTATGTCGCTGAACTCCCCTGTAGTTGACTGCGGTTTGAGTCCTGGACTCAGTGGCTTAAACTCATGCTGGGTGCATGTGTGTGCATGCCTGAGATACTGAGAGGAGAATGGATTGCGGCGTGGCCATCCCTCCTGGGGGGTGATTTCTCGCTTTCTGTCTCTCTGTTTCTCTCTGCCTTTCTGGTGAGCGCACATGCCCTATAGAGGGAAAGAAAAAAAAAAAAAAAAAAAAAAAAAACCCTCCCAAAAAACAAAAGGGAAAATAAAAAAAGAATATAGCCTTGGGATAGTCTAAATTTAGCTTAGTGAGAATACTGTTGGACTTCTAACCTATGGGCTACTATCAGGTGGAAAATCTATATTGCTTTAAGCCACTAAATCTGTTATAATGGCAATAGAAAACCAAGATATAGTCAGTATTCTCATAGTCTTACTTGCTGGAATTTCAAGAGCCAAACTGTATTTTAACTATTTGCTGTTTTAAAATGTAGTGTTTTGGAACAATCCTCACCAAATTAATTAATCTAAACTTATTCAACATAGAAAAAGGGTTTTAAAAACAGCTTTAAGAATTATTAGTACTTTTTTCCAATTTGGGCAAGGTGGAATAGCTCATGCAAAGAAGGGTGGTCAATTCTGCCATCAATGAGGTGTGATCCAAGAATACACCACCAACATTCACAAATGCAATCTCTCGTGAAGATGAGGACTCCAATGTGTGCACTGATACCGGCCTCAGCGAAACTGTCTGGGCCAAAGGAATAAGGAATGGCCCATACCGTGTCCATGTGTAGTCATCCAGAAAACACAATGAGGTGGAGATTCACCAAATAAGCTCTATGGTGGGGATGAGAACTAACTGCTGATTGTCAGAAAGTTATATAACCAACAAAAAAGGACAAAGCTGTTTGTACTGGCCTTTAGAGACAAGACAGCTTCATTCAAACAGCATAGGTGGGCAACATGAAATACTACAGTATCTTCTCCTTTCCTGAAGAACTTCACAAACTAAACTCTATAGCTAACCGTTAACCGTTCATATTACAGTAAAATTATTTTATTTCACACACTCTCATTGCCTGCCCCTATAAAAGGACAAGTCTTTGCCTAACACATTAACATAAATGCCTTTTTAAAATTCACTTAAGAGCTCTGAGTTTATTATATGTCTCCATCCACCACCTTATCATTCTTACGGGTCAATCCATGATTAAAATCAAAGGAACAGCCTTCAAGGTCAACATCAGTACCCCAGCTCCAACATACCTAAGTTCATCCATTTCCTTTTTTTTCTTCATTTCTTCTTTTTCTTTCCTTTTCATTTCTTGAATCTGGGCTTTTTTCTCATTCCTTTCTTCCCGGTCTCTGCATTCTTTCTCTGCTGCTAGATCTGGGAACCGCTCTACTTCGGTCTTTTCTAATCGGTTCAGGGTTCAGGATCTCATTCACTTTCTTCTCCACTGTCACAATTTTTACCTTTGAGGGAGATGGGGAAAAGATACTGAGTCTTTATTTGTGTTTTTTCTCCCAGAAGAAGGGTGAGGCTTTCCAGGGTGTAGCAACCCAGTTTAATTCCCTTTAGAAAACATACATCATGCTTAGCCCTCAATGACAATGGTGTCGGACAGAAAAGATGAATACTCTGATCAGTATCAGGACTCGGCCTCCTCCAGCGGTGCAAACACTTACATCCTTTTGCCTGTGAAAGCCTATCTGCCCCACATCCATGTCAGCTGTTTTCTTCAGGTTAGACCACGGCGTATATACCACATTAACGTTGTTCATCTTGCAGCCTGCCAAGAGAGACTGTCTTCAACATGCAGGCAGGATGAAACTGAGTAATGCCTTCCCTTACCCACTGGCAAATTACAATTCAATCAGAGAAAAGGCTTGGAATGAACAAGCTATCCACTGTTTCAAACCACAAAATAATATTTCAAAAACCACCCACAAAAGGCAAATGGAAAGCTGACATTAAACAAAATGCAAAAGTATTATGATGAAAAGCAGGAGTCCATGGATTAGCTTCCAGGAATTCAGAGAACTCCTTCAAATCAAATGCAAAATTTATCAAAAGTATTTTTTCAAGAGAAAAGAGTTTCTTCAGATTCTCAAAGGGGTCCTTGGTTCAATAAAGGTTATACAGCAATATAAAGGCATGGCTTGGGGTTCAAAAAATCTGGACTTTATCCTGGCATTGAAACAAATAAGCTATGTCACTTTGGGAAAGTCCCCAGAGTTCTCTGAATCTGATCTAAACTATAAGAATATTAGACAAGTTAAATATTGTTTTTTGATTGTTTGTTTCTTATTGGTGGTACCATTTTACCGAGGAAAACATAGAAGTCATCATTGCCCATACACATTAGATGAAAGGGGTGCCACATACCCTGTTCACCCCTCCTCCTAACTCCTCACACCACCACCTTCACCACACGTTTGCCCTCCATCCCCAAGAACCTCCTGGGCAGCTCAGAGAATCATAGGTTAATCACTGGAACAAAAAACAAAAAAAAAAAAAAAAAAAAAAAAAAAAAAACCCTCCCAAAAAACAAAAGGGAAAATAAAAAAAGAATATAGCCTTGGGATAGTCTAAATTTAGCTTAGTGAGAATACTGTTGGACTTCTAACCTATGGGCTACTATCAGGTGGAAAATCTATATTGCTTTAAGCCACTAAATCTGTTATAATGGCAATAGAAAACCAAGATATAGTCAGTATTCTCATAGTCTTACTTGCTGGAATTTCAAGAGCCAAACTGTATTTTAACTATTTGCTGTTTTAAAATGTAGTGTTTTGGAACAATCCTCACCAAATTAATTAATCTAAACTTATTCAACATAGAAAAAGGGTTTTAAAAACAGCTTTAAGAATTATTAGTACTTTTTTCCAATTTGGGCAAGGTGGAATAGCTCATGCAAAGAAGGGTGGTCAATTCTGCCATCAATGAGGTGTGATCCAAGAATACACCACCAACATTCACAAATGCAATCTCTCGTGAAGATGAGGACTCCAATGTGTGCACTGATACCGGCCTCAGCGAAACTGTCTGGGCCAAAGGAATAAGGAATGGCCCATACCGTGTCCATGTGTAGTCATCCAGAAAACACAATGAGGTGGAGATTCACCAAATAAGCTCTATGGTGGGGATGAGAACTAACTGCTGATTGTCAGAAAGTTATATAACCAACAAAAAAGGACAAAGCTGTTTGTACTGGCCTTTAGAGACAAGACAGCTTCATTCAAACAGCATAGGTGGGCAACATGAAATACTACAGTATCTTCTCCTTTCCTGAAGAACTTCACAAACTAAACTCTATAGCTAACCGTTAACCGTTCATATTACAGTAAAATTATTTTATTTCACACACTCTCATTGCCTGCCCCTATAAAAGGACAAGTCTTTGCCTAACACATTAACATAAATGCCTTTTTAAAATTCACTTAAGAGCTCTGAGTTTATTATATGTCTCCATCCACCACCTTATCATTCTTACGGGTCAATCCATGATTAAAATCAAAGGAACAGCCTTCAAGGTCAACATCAGTACCCCAGCTCCAACATACCTAAGTTCATCCATTTCCTTTTTTTTCTTCATTTCTTCTTCGCTCTACTTTGGTCTTTTCTAATCGGTTCAGGATCTCATTCACTTTCTTCTCCACTGTCACAATTTTTACCTTTGAGGGAGATGGGGAAAAGATACTGAGTCTTTATTTGTGTTTTTTCTCCCAGAAGAAGGGTGAGGCTTTCCAGGGTGTAGCAACCCAGTTTAATTCCCTTTAGAAAACATACATCATGCTTAGCCCTCAATGACAATGGTGTCGGACAGAAAAGATGAATACTCTGATCAGTATCAGGACTCGGCCTCCTCCAGCGGTGCAAACACTTACATCCTTTTGCCTGTGAAAGCCTATCTGCCCCACATCCATGTCAGCTGTTTTCTTCAGGTTAGACCACGGCGTATATACCACATTAACGTTGTTCATCTTGCAGCCTGCCAAGAGAGACTGTCTTCAACATGCAGGCAGGATGAAACTGAGTAATGCCTTCCCTTACCCACTGGCAAATTACAATTCAATCAGAGAAAAGGCTTGGAATGAACAAGCTATCCACTGTTTCAAACCACAAAATAATATTTCAAAAACCACCCACAAAAGGCAAATGGAAAGCTGACATTAAACAAAATGCAAAAGTATTATGATGAAAAGCAGGAGTCCATGGATTAGCTTCCAGGAATTCAGAGAACTCCTTCAAATCAAATGCAAAATTTATCAAAAGTATTTTTTCAAGAGAAAAGAGTTTCTTCAGATTCTCAAAGGGGTCCTTGGTTCAATAAAGGTTATACAGCAATATAAAGGCATGGCTTGGGGTTCAAAAAATCTGGACTTTATCCTGGCATTGAAACAAATAAGCTATGTCACTTTGGGAAAGTCCCCAGAGTTCTCTGAATCTGATCTAAACTATAAGAATATTAGACAAGTTAAATATTGTTTTTTGATTGTTTGTTTCTTATTGGTGGTACCATTTTACCGAGGAAAACATAGAAGTCATCATTGCCCATACACATTAGATGAAAGGGGTGCCACATACCCTGTTCACCCCTCCTCCTAACTCCTCACACCACCACCTTCACCACACGTTTGCCCTCCATCCCCAAGAACCTCCTGGGCAGCTCAGAGAATCATAGGTTAATCACTGGTCCAGTGTTCTCTATAGTCCTTCCAAATTAGAGCTCAGTGTTTGCTAAATTCCCACATGCACCAGAGAAAGCTGGTGAACACCACCTTACCCAAGTGGTCAAAATGAACATCATCAAAAATGGGGCAAAATGACATCATATGGCACCTGACTGTATTGTGTAGAACTTCGCTCATGTAGTATGTCTGCCTCCAAATGCAGATTGTGATTCTAATTGAGAGGAAGCATCAAACAAATCCAAATTGTGGGTGACTCTACTACTATTGTCTCTTTAAACAAAACTGTCAATGTCTTGGAAGACATAGAAGAGTAAATACAACAAATGATCCCGAGTAAGGAAAAAAATCTGTAAAGACAATAGTTGTACAACTGGCAAAACTTAACTATAGACCGTGTATTAGGAACAGTATCCTATCCATGTTAAATTTCCTGAATTTGATCATTGCAATGCAGTTAGCTAAGACAACATCCTTGTTCTTAGGAGAAACAAGTTGAAGGACCTTGATGTCTATGATGTTCTTTCCCAAAGTTAATCATGAGTATGCTATACAAAGAAGGCAAATAAACTTACAAAATTGGTGAACCTAAGTGAATATGGGAGTTGTATTTTTCTTATAACCTTTCTATAGGTTCAAATGTACTTTTACAAAATAAAGTTTAAAAAGAAAATCTCTATGTGGTGGAGGTAGACAGTGGCACAGTGATAAAACACAATGTCCTGCAAGGCTAACCTACAGGGGAAAGGTTTTAGGTTCACGTCCTGAGACCTCCTTGAGTACACTGCACATGATCAGGACCTGGAGCTGGCTGAAGTTAGGGTAGACTGCAGAGTCAAGACTCTGTTGAGGGTGCTTTCTCTATAGGAAGATATAATTATATAAACTTAAAAATATAATTAAAAAACTCCATGTGCAAGTCACTGCAGGGGGATATAAAGATGGATCAGGCAATGGATCTGGCCTTCTCAGACTAAAGGAAGATATATATATATATATATAT